GAATATGTATTGTGTGGTTCCATTTACACAAAATTCAAAAACAAGCAAGGCTAAAATATAAAACTTGGAAAATGCAGGCTTAGGTTGTAAAGTACACAGAAAAACATGAAAAACAAAGAAATAATGACATGTAGGTGTAATAAGAGATATTATCTATAACAGAAAAGAGAAATTGCGATATTTAAGAGAAACATACAGACCTTGTTGAGAGCGAGCAACGATTTATTTCTTCACTACCTGAAGATAGTTTCATGGTTGTTTCCTTTAGGATAATTTGTGTTTTCTGTTTCTTGTTTTTTGTTTTTACTTTTCTTTTTATTTCAAAAAACAAGGAAAAATACATCTGTATTAGTGGCTATATGATTTATTTTTTCTCTAACTACTAAATCAAAAAATTGTAACTATTTACTCATAGATAAGGTAAGGATACTGCTTCGCTTGCATTTACTTCTGAACTATCTACTCTTATTAACTTCTGTGTTCCTATTCTTCTATTTTAGATACAGAAAATTGTTGCATAATTATTACACCCTTAATTGTTCACCTTAATTAATTATAGGCTTAAATGGCTTGACGGCCTAACCAGTCTTATTATATCATAAATTCTTCATTAAACAATATTTTTTCCATTTCATGGTCTATATCTTTAAGGTCTTTTATGTTTACCTTCTCTCATACTCCAGACAGTAAAGGAAATTATGTATTCCTAAAGACATGTATATATATATTTTTCTGAACAAATGAAGGATCGATTTTTACCTTTTCAGTTAATTTTTTTAAATATAGGTTTTTTTTTTTCCAATTTACATTTTTTTTTTTTGAGACCGGCTGCACCACACTCAGCCAGTGAGCGCTGTGAGCGCACCGGTCACCGCTATATAAGATCTGAACCCCTGGCGGAAGCGCTGCTGCGCTCCCAGCGCCGCACTCTCCCAAGTGCGCCACGGGCTCGGCCCTCCAATTTACATTTTTTACCTGATACTTTGAAATTAAATTCCTTAATTCAGTCTTGATTAATCTGTGATTATCACCATATACAATTTGTTTTAGTTTCTTGTTCAGGAATATCATATATGAATTATCTCCACTCTTTATCTCTCATTTTGTAATAATCTCTCTTCAAGAATCATATATGTGTCACTTTTTGTTCTTCTAAGAGTGTGATTAATCAGCAATTATTCTTTTTGCATTACTGATGCCACAAATACTGAAATACTTAATTCTTTAATAGAGAATTAAAATGAGATATTCAGCTATTAACATTTTTATATCATTCAACATCTTTCTCGTATGTCTGCCTGTCAGCTAACATATTATTTTAACCTTTATGTCATTATATTTTAATTACTAAATATAGATCATATTTATACAAATTTTATTAAAAACCAAACTCATTATGACTCAAATATATTTCTGGATTATTAACATTTTGTTTTCCAAAATTAATATGATTCTCTGCATTGACCACTTGAATGATATAGTCCTGTGTGT